AGATGGCGTTTATGATGCCCGTGGTGAAAAACGAATGGGACATTTACAAGACGAACCGCAGCAGGCGATCGTCAGAGTGTTCCAATCCTCAGACCTGTCGCAGTAGAAAGGTGAGTGTTTCACTTAAGAAACCCAATCGAACAATCGCAGAGGCAAGTTCGCGCGCTTCGACACAGTTCGTTTCGTTTCGTTCCGTTCCGTTCGCACGAGCTTTACGAGGCAAACGAAAGTTTCTCGTGTTCGCGAGAGAGAAGAGTGATCGCGTATTTTCCTGTCTCGGGAGTACCAATGTTTCCGTTGCGCTTTCATCGTTTCCACGAAAAGAATCCGTATTAACGGTAATATCTCGCGTGAAACGGTTTATCGCGCGCTATGTACCGTAACACAGCAGCGATCCTCGAAACATATCCTCCTCGTATCTTGCGAACGTCATCGAAAGGTTGACGCGCGTGTTCGAGCCACGTTTGGCGTTCGTGTACGCGCGCACCTCATTGTGCAAATTTAAATCTCGCGATACTCCAGCGATCCCATATACGTATTATGATCGAGAGCGTCGATTGCGAATAACTTCACGCTCAGCCGGATGGTCGATTGCACGGGGGACGAAAGTGGTTCTTCGATGATAGATACGAAAAAATTTTATTGCGGCACGTATGTATGCCAAGAGAGAGATACGCTCGTACGTGCAATCGTTACTGTTGTCAGTAGTTCCCTATCTATGATGATACATACACACACACGTTGTTGCGCTCTTCTTTCTAGAAAAATGTATCACGACGTGGGTTTTCTCTCGACCGGCGACGTGTTCCCTCAAGCATACCTCTGCCACGCCGTGACGCACGGTTGCGCAACTTTGATTCTCAATTTCGTAATGGCACCGCATCACCGCGATAATCGGTATCATATTAATCGTTTCGCGATGTGACATCGATAACGTGCTACTAATCAACGCGTGCCTTCCGAAATCGGACACGAGGGGAGGCAAAGGGAGAAATCATAGCGAAAATTTCACTTTCTTACCATTCCGAATTCTTTCGAACGAACGGGTCGAAATTAACGGGGGCTCTCTCTCTCCCACTCTCCCCCTCTCTCTCTCTCTCTCTCTCTCTCTGCCTGCCGCGATTCTATGATGTGTGGAAAAATACAAAGCGGAGGGGGAGTACGTGTAGTTGGCAACGTCTCGGCGCGTCGTTGGCTGTAGAGCAGCAATTGCTCGGCATCGGGGTATTATTATTTGCGCCGGACGCCACGAATCGCGCCGCCGGTTGCCCGTTGTCGGGAGATTACGCAATCGCGCGTAACCAAAGGACGAGAAATTCGCCGTGTTGTCCATAGTCGCACTCGTGCGGCGCACGTGCGCTACCCTAAGACTCGCTGAGAACCACTGTTCTCCGTTCGATCGTTGCATCGAGAATATCTGGCGGCCTTGCCTGCTGCGACGCGCCGCTAAATTCGTACGCGGAATTACGACGTCGTCGATCGGTGTGATCATTCACAGCAGCCGATACACGCTGGGGGTGCAACTGCATGCTGTCACTTCCTCTCTTCTAACTGTACTCGTATACTTGCCTGTACCGATGAAAAAAAAATCATCTTAGTATGTTGGAACTGTTCGGTATTCAAATTGCCGCGCTTTTGTCCCAACCGGGATGTTGTTACCCTCCGAGTAACGCAGCTCCAAGTCCTGTGCCCGGGTCAGAAATGACCCGTATGAATATTTCCATGATATTCACGGTCGCTCGAGATGGAGACCGTTATCGATGTACTGATAATTAGTCAGTTTTGGATTACGTTCATATTTTCGTTATACACAACCCGTCCGTAAGTATTTGGCCACTTGGAGGAATTGGTTTAAAATATTTATATCTTTGTTGCAATGTAAATATTTCTAAGTAGAACGACTGCTACTTTATATTTGCGATGTACGGAAATGTTACAATGTATCGCAAATTATATTACTCCACTTGCTGGGTAATAACGGCGTTAATAATTCGAGGTAATCTAGCAACCAATCTTTTTAACGTATTTTCTTGAATCTCTTTCCAGGCGATTTGTAGATACTTCCACAAATGTTTTTCAGAAGTGGGCATTTTTCTTTCACTTTTCGGTCCATTTCGATTGGATTTAAATCAGGTGACTGCGGTGGCCGTTGCATTATTTCAAGTTCGTTATTGTCTTGCAATTCGTATTAGAGTGTCTGTAACAAAAACAACGACGAACGTTACATTTGACAATAATATATGAATCATGCTTCGTACAATGGAAGTGGCCAAATACTTGCGGACGGTAGTGTACGTGTACGAAGGAATAACATCCTCGTGAATTATAGAAAAAGACGTCGATGTTAATGACTGCATACTGGAGTGTATTTAATAATAGAAACAATGGGAGTAATAAAAAAATTGACTCCTGAACGGAATATTTATGTTCGATTCGTCGCACTCGTCTTTCTTTCGCAATTCGTACTTTTGTCTCTACACTTCTCGTTGCGGTAACGTGATCGTCACTTCGCGACTGACACAAAGAGCCTCGTCGTTGTGTACGTTATCGGTGTCGGAACAGCGGGTCATAAATGACCCGGGCACAGTGCTTGGAGGGTGAACAGGTTCCCTGCCGCGTGGATCCCATGCATTCTCCACTCTGGACTTTCCGTTCAGGCCGTTGAACATTCTCCTCTTTTCCTTTCTTCGACTTGAACTATGCAACTACGACTATAATTTGTTGAAACAGAAACTCTTGCTTTGTTCTGCGGCGCATCTTCGACCCATCGCGTTCTTATTATTACCGAAATAATAATAATAATATACGTATTAGTAAAAGTTTATTATCTGGGTTCATATAGAGCAGGGGTTCCCAGAGTTTTGCCTAGGTGGGCCAAATTGTAAATTTGAAAATATTTGGCGGGCCATTAAGGCGATAAAATGTATACAATCTATATAATAACAAGATATATTACATATAAAATTTAGTATTTTTTTTTTGTAAAATGATGTCTGTAAATTCAAGATCGCGGCTGATCTGCCATCGCGGGCCGCACTTTGGGAACCCCTGATATAGAGCGTGTTGGGTAACAATACGAATTTCGCGTACTCGGGTCATTTTCGACCCAAACACCTCAGGCGCAGGGGTTAACACGTTGAATGCCGCGAGGGTGATCGGTGACCGGCGGTGCCAAGATTAGCGAAGGCATTTAATTCGAATAAATCGGTAATATTTGCAATGCATATTTAAATAGCTAGTGGACAAGTTGCGCAGAATTAGCATTCAACAAACGTTACACCGTTCTCTCGATAATAACGATTTCTGCAGTTTTCCAAGTATCGCAAGGCACACGTCACAAGTAAATTAGAGTCTGGATAACGCGGCGCGCATACGACTCACGCGGTGCGAACGGAACGTCACCGAAAATCAGAGGGACGTCTCGATCTTCCCCGAGAATTCCGATAGATCTCTCTGTATTCGAAAGTAAAGGACAGTGAAAGTGGAGATTCGAAGGAAGATGGATAAAAAACAGAGGCTTCTCGTTTGTATGTTGACAGGTATCGGAATGTTCAAAATCAGAGGGTCCGTCGCTGTCCACTTCACCGGGGTCGGACTTCTTGACATCGCCGGCGCACCGTTCCGTGCCCCTCACTTCCCGCCACTTCTCGAGGACGTCCTCGAGGGCGTCTCAGAACTCGTTGCAGAGTCCGAGCAAAAGCACGGGCTCGTCGCCGCCGAAAACCGGCAGCTCGAACTCCCTGAACAAGTTCCACAACCGGCTGATAGACAAGCTGAAGAGAACGATGAAGAAGGCCGAGGACAGCGCAGAGGACCAGCGAAACTTGTCGTGAAATAGCCAGGGGGTTTTGGGCCGGCCACCGATACCCGGCTCGAAACCGATCGAGATCCGACGCACCTCCGCACCGGTTGCCGCGTCCGCGACAATCCACGAGACTGTCGTGCGATCCTGCCCGGATCCGCCGCCCTCGGCATGGTAAATAGGACAGAAGGAATCGCACCGGTGACGACCACACGATATCATCCCATCTGATCGTGCACGGAGAACCGATCCTAACACCAGAACCGGAACCAGTTCGAATGGGGAGGAAAATACCAAGCAGAAGCTGACCAACATCTAAGCAAGTACGAAGAGAAAGATAGATAGAGAGAGAAAGAAGAAGATACACAGAGAGAATCACAGAGAGAAAGAGAGAGAGAGAGAGAGAGAGAGAGAGAATGATGGAAGGGAAGCAGAAAGTGTGAAGTCCAGTGGAGAGACGTCGAAGTAGCCGCGAATCTTTGGTACCAGTAGGTTACCACGCTCTTTTTCTACGTTTTCTCCTCGATATCCACAGTTTCGAAAAAAAAGAGCTCGCGAGTTAATACGTATATTTTCCGTTTCTCTACTTCCCCGTTGGATTCCCCAGTTTCTTACGAAGATGCCGGAATGCTACGAAGATCGCAAGAGAAAAATAGATTTTCCATATATTTCGTTTTTCCTTTCCAAAAAAAAAAAAAAAAAACACAAATACACACATAACACCCGTTGATCTCGGAGTTAATCGCGAGACCTAACCGGAGTGTCCTTTCTGTGGATAACTGTGAGAATCTGTTTAGGCTGCCGGAGAGAGAGAGAGAGAGAAGAAGAGAAGAAGGGAAGAGAAGAGAGAGAGAGAAGACAAGGTGAAGACGAGAGAATCTGTCTGCCTGACGAGCGGAAGCTCCTTGTTCCGCGGAGCGCAATCGAGGACAGCTAGCACCGGGAACGAGGAGCAACGAC